GGGGGCCCCCAGCCCCTCAGCACTGCCTTGTGCTGCATCTTCTGCTTCTATAGACGCAGCAGCAGCTGCTGCAGCAGCAGCAGAATGGGGTATAGCAGCAGCAGCAGCGGCAGCAGCAGCCGCAGGCTGCAGCAGTCTACAGGATCCATACGATGAAAGCGATGGATAAAATATACTGGCTGAGAACGCGAAGGATTGCTGCTGCTGCTGCTGCTGCTGCTGCTGCTGCTGTTGCTGCTGCTGCTGTTGCTGCTGCTTTTTGCTGCTGGTGGTGACCCGTAAGCCAAGGGCTTGGACCTGCTGCAGCAGCTCGTGCTGCTGCTGCTGCTGCTGTTGCTGCTGCTGCTTGATGTGCAATCGAGGGGACAGGTGTGCAGCGTTGCGGGGACCGCTTGCTGCTGCTGCTGCTGCTGTTGCTGCTGCTGCTGCTGCTGCTGCTGCTTCTGCCCGTGTCAGAAGGTGAATGAGCCAGCAGCAGAAGAGGATGGAAATACAAAAGGAGAAGGAAGAGAATGAGGATCTATAGAGGGAGCCGAAGGCGGTGAGTTTGGGGTGTATGGGCAGCTCGGGTGTATAGGCAGCTCGACGGTGGCTAGTAGTAAGCTTCAGGGGAGAAAGAAGATATATATTTTTTATTTTTATTTAAAAAATGAGAAAATATAAATAAATATATTGTAAATATAATACACAAATCTAATTTTATACTCACATTCATCCTGCTGCTGCTGCTGCTGTTGCTGCTGCTCTTGCTGCTGCTGCTGCTGCTGCTGTTGCTGCTGCTGCTGCTGCTGCTGCTGCTGCTCGGGATTTCTGCTGCAGGGCCCTCACCATCGGTGGTGTTGTATCTTTGGGTCTGAATAAAACTATATTTGTTTGCCTTCACCCTATACTAAACCCTAAACCCTAAACCCTAATAAACCCTAAACCCTAAACCCTAAACCCTTCGAGGGTACTGCGCGGTCGCATTGGGGGCCCCTCGCCTGTGCAGCAGCAGCAGCAGCAGCAGCAGCAGCAGCAGCAGCAGCAGCAGCAGCAGCAGAAACACAGGAGGAATCTCCTCCTTTCTACTTCCTTTAGGTGCTCCCGCCAGTAGCAGCCTGCTGCTTAATAGGCAGCAGCAGCAGCAGCAGCAGCAGCAGCAGCAGCAGCACCTGCAGCAGCAGCAGCAGACATACAAGAAACAGAAGCAGCAGCAACAGCTCAGACACAGCAGCAGCAGCATCCAGGGGTTTCTGCTGTTCCTGTGCTGCCGGGTCAGCAGCAACGACAGCAGCAGCAACAGCAGCAACAGCAGCAGCAGCAGCAACAGCAGCAGCAGCAGCAGCAGCAGCAGCAGCAGCATTTATTCTGCTGCCAGCTCGCCATGGCTGTCTACAGAGGCAGCATTCGTCCCCACGGGGCCGCGGAGCTCAAAATATGTGTCATCGGAGATGAAGTGAGGGTTTAGGGTTTAGGGTTTAGGGTTTAGGGTTTAGGGTTTAGGGTTTAGGGTTTAGGGTTTGTGCAGGCGTGTAGAGGATTTTCCTTAGATATCCTGTGGTTTGTTTCCTCTAACCGAAACAGGGTTTCATATCGAGGGTTTAGGGTTTAGGGTTTTCTAGGGTTTAGGGTCTTCTAGGGTTTAGGGTTTTCTAGGGTTTAGGGTTTTCTAGGGTTTAGGGTTTAGGGTTTAGGGTTTGTTCAGGATACTGTTGCTGGGTTTTTGATGGCTGGCATCGGGATGAGGGACGGCATGGGGCGAACAAACTTCCTCGTTGTAGACGCCAGTAAACCCTAAACCCTAAACCCTAAACCCTAAACCCTAAACCCTAAACCCTAGTTTTTGCCCCCTCAAGTATAATACAAACCCTTCCCTCTAAACCCTAAACCCTAAACCCTAAACGCTAAACCCTCACAAACAACAACTGTATCCTGCATCAACAAATCCATCTCAGGGTATAAAAATAAACTATAACC